GTTTGTGTTTTCAGCTCTGCATGGTGTCAGGCTTATAAATTTAACACAAGTATGTCTTCTTTATCAAGCAATTTTTTCCCCCCTCCTAGTGTAAGGAATCATTGTGAAAAAATTGTCACGACCGTCACATCCGTCTCATCGATTTTTTTGATCTGCCAGTATAAGATGCATGGTTTAATAAGTGTGTTGATTTTTTTAGAGTTATACTATTAGAATCTACTTGAAGAATCAGTGTTCGCTTATCTTACATACAAATTGATAAATATAGTATTGTGATGTTGGAACAGAAATCCACGTATTTGAAAAAATTTATTTTGCCCATTTATGAAAACTTCATTCATCAAACTTGCCTTCATCACCGACTTCTTTGCTCTCGTGGGTTATTTTGATGAGTTATATGCGTAATAGAAGTTTCCAAAATTTTGCAACACCGCTGAAGTGACGCACGTCGATTGAGGAGATATCAAAACCGTTGCAACGAAACCCCCGAACTTGAGTAAAATCTGGGTCCTGAGGGATGGGCTCCATAGTCCTAGCAGTATGTTATAGTATAGTTCAAAATTTAACGTTGCCAGCTCTGTATTAAAATAAATATTTTAAAATGTTGAACCCTGGGGAATCGATGATTTTTTAGCATCATTCCGCAACCGCATTTCATTATTGACACTGTCCTGCGGGCCGCGAGCTGTTGTCTGAAGGTATCGGCAAGTGATCGGCGCATGTTTACCTGGCCCGAAAGGATTAGCAACATCTGTTCGTTCATGTGTTCACAATGAGAGAAGCCCGCGATCCAGATTTTCGGTTCAGATTCCTCTCGATAATCCTTTAAACCCATTTTGTGGTTTCCTTAACTCTTTCTCCAGCCGTGTGCCCTTTATTTTCGTAAAGAAATCCAATTTTTCTTTCGCTTTGTTGCTCTCAATGCAACGGGAAAGATGTGGTAAACAGAGGCCACAATAAAGGAGCAGGAGTAACCAGGTGGAGGTGTCTGATGAACTCACGCTGGAATAGACTTGTTCGGATCAAAAAAATTTGCTCTCTAGATTTCTTGGGAGGAGGCAAAATGCAACACAAGCAACACACAGCATATTTTTGTTTGTAGGCTTTTGTTTTGTTTAAGTTGTTTTACGGCCCAATCGTGCAACTTCGTTTGGTTTTTTACATTTAATCATCAAAAATTAAGATTTAAGATCTGTTTGAAATTTCCCAACAAAATTGAATCGTGTCGTGTGAAAACCGATAGTGTCCATTTTTCTAGTTTTGGCTGATTTTAGGTTGATAACACTTTTCAGAGTTATACTGGAAAAAAAAAAACACATTGGATCTAGAGTTCAGACTCTTGAAAGCATTGACAAGAAAAAATACTCTTGATTCAATCGGATTTTTTTATTCAATCATGAAAACGAAATCCGCTTAAATTAAGAGACTTGGTTATTGATTTAATCTAGATTCTAATTGAATCAAGAGTACTTTTTCTTCTCTTGTCGATGTTTTTAAAAGTCTGGAGTTCTGGACTCTAGATCTAATGTGTTTTTTTTCCAGTGTAAATGCAAGCACAAAAAAGTGTTAATATTTGTTTCGGGAATATTTTAATCCTAAATCCGGGCCTTTGCACCAGTTTCATGATCGTATCAACTCTTGAAAAGTATTACCAACACACACACACAAAAAATGAAAGCTGGAAAAGTGGACATTAGCAGTTCTCCTCCAACGCGATTCAATTACCTAGTGTTTAAAATTTTTACAGAAACATCGTAAATACAGATTTAGTCACTTCATCTTCTGTATCTTTTATTCTTCTTAGTGTTCGCTTTCGAGATTACACAATTCTAACAGAACTTTACATTGTAATTTTGTACCCAAGTGCCTTTGAAATGTTGAACATAAAAACGGTTTTATACCAGAGCCCTATTAATATCCGATCAAAGCTCTCTCGCGAAACGTCTCCACTTACGCCCCCTAGAGGGGCACTAAGCAGATTGTCAACAATAAGTTTAGAAAATTAATAACGCGCAGAACACCAAATAATACAATTCTACCAGCTTTTTCAGCTCCCCTCTACTCCCGCCCCCACTCACCACCCCACTTTGCTTGGATTTTTCAACCCCGGTTAAAAACATCTCTGTGTCTTTTAGTCGGGTCGAGTCTTTGAAGGAGCTACAAAGTTGACTGAAGAACCCACGACGACAGGAGATTGCTTTCAATCCATTAATGAATAATTGTCTGAGATCCGGGCCGGAAAGTTTCGGGCGGGGGCGGGGGTAGTTTGGATCCCTTGAAATTCAATCGCATTAAACTGAAGTGAGCGACGACCCCGGGTACTCGAAAGTCGGGTGCTCCGGGGACATGGGAAGGCACTTAATTAAGGGACCACGCGCGCTCTTTTTCCGGCCGTTGACTTTGATTTCGTTATCTAGTCAAAGGTGGACTTCGCTTTGAACTTATGCGTTCCTCAAAAATCAAGGAGTCTCGTTCGCTCGGCCGGAGATAAGAATGAGATCTTTCGGCCGCTGTTGTCGAATTCCCAGTCAGGAAACGTGTGGTTCTTTCTAGATTGCGAGCCCTCGTGAAATATGATCTCTGTCGTGGCATAGGAAAAATGCCGCATGAGCCTCCATGCGTTGCAGCAATTTCTCCGATGAAAACGAATGAATAGGGCAATTTGGGAATATTTTTTTCACATTTTTTAAAATTCAGTCTGAAATGTCTGAAAATTTCATGGAAAAATATGCATCACTTTCCTCGAAAATAAATATTTTATCGGGAGAGATTTTTATTAGGGTTCGTACGGCGTTTTTCCTCATCACGGCAGTATGAAGTCCCTAAAGATCCAGGATTTACGTGGATACCATCATATTACCTGAAATTCCCCTTAATGTTTGCGATGTTTTAGGATTAATCATCTTTCAGCTCTTCCCCGTGAACATGCTTAGAAGGCTCGGACTGGCCATAAGGCCAGTCTGCCATTGGCAGATACACCCCCTTTGCGCGCCGAAAACGCGCCCCTTCTTGCAGATAGCAAAATAAGAATTAAAAAAAAAATTACGACCGAGAATATGTGAGAAAAATTTCTTAAATGAACGGAAGAAGAGAGAATTACGAGTAAATAAAGGTGCTTGAACGCATGATAGTGGTGAACAGAGGTCCAAGAAAGCGTAAACAATTTTCTGTGAAATTTTCTCCTTCTTCTTGACGTACAGGCGCTTTATCATCCCCCTCCTTCATTCGCTATGTGTAACTCCCTTAGAAGCGATGGTCGGTTCGATTTTTAGACATACGCATCCTTTATAGACCTCTTAAGAGACCTTTAAACATATTTCCTCCCTTTCAAATGACTATTGATATGGACATACCATAGCATAACTCGGGCAAACTTAACCTTAATATATCTGGAAATTCAAAAATAAGAGACATCTAAAATGCAAACGCTATACAACTATTCGCGCAAGATGGATGCATTGCATATGAAAAATGTAAGACGCGATGGTGTGAGTCGTGAACTCGCAACGCTCTGCTCTAGTTTGAAGCAACATTACAAACAAGACAAACGCAAACAAACACAATATGGAAATAAAGCGAGGGAACGGATGCGCGTTAACGACGGCGCAGAGATACAACTATTCGTACTTGATGGACGTCCATGCTGCATCTGAAAAATTGAAGGCGCGATGACGCGAAGCGGGAGCTCTCAATTCTCTGCTTGCTGTCAATGAGGTGTCGAGATTCGGTAGGAAAGTTAAAGCAGAGACCCGAACACATCTCTCCTACCTTCGGCTGTGTTACTCACGTAGTGCTTGAAGGACCATTACGAATAAGACAAACGGAAACAAACACAATATTGAAAAAGAGGGAGGGAAAGGATGCGTGTCCACAACGGCGCAGAGATACAACTATTCGTACTTGATGGACGTCCGTGCAGCATCTGAAAAATTGAAGGCGCGATGACGCGAAGCGTGAGCTCTCAATGCTGTGCTTCACGTTCAATTTTGCAATTTTTACTCGCGTGCGATCAATAAACTTTGAACCTGAAAATAGCGTAAACTTGTGCTGATTTGCCAAAATTTTCTGAACCCCTCTCCACGTAGGGAATGCCCTACCAGGAAATATCACATTACGCCCCTTTAACCATCCAAGGGTCTACGCCCTCAGATGCGAGCCAGTCCGACCCTGATGCTTAGGTAAAATGATGTGAACCGGACTCCCAGCTACGAATGAAACTTTGGTCCTGGTAGTTCTATTCTCAAAGTGAACTCCAGCAAAATATTTCTGTCCAGATCGATTGATTACTAATAAGGTACATGTATGTAGGTAGGGAAAGTCTGCCCCCCCCCCCAAATTTCATGGCCCCTCGCAGAACAGTTGAGATCGTATATGCAGTCGCTTATCGTTCCCAGAGAACCCCGTGAGGGCCATAGATACCCCTCGCCATAAGTCTTGGCAGTACAGTGTCTTCATTGAAAGTGTTAAACTCTCCAAGTTTAAGACTTGGACATTTGATTGTGAGATTGACACGTCGAATCAGGATCCCCTGAAACCCTCGTTGAACTCTTACGTTTTGGTAGCCCAAGGGGCAGGAGCCACGAAAAAACCGATACCATGGGAAAGCCCACAGGCCCTCGATAAACGGTGCAGCCAGTAAATACTAGGTAACCGCTAAAAGTAGGAGACTAGATGAAAACCTAGCGCTAACTTGTAATTTTTATATTACACAACATTACCGGGGCCGAGAAAAAAGGTCTCGAAAATAGCCGGGTTGAAAAAAGTAATAACAGCATGGGACGAGGGAAGAAACCTCTGGAGCAGGAGGATTCCCTTCGACTACGAACAGGTAGACGGGGGTGTAGCAGGAGTGCATTCCCACAAACGTATACGTCTGTCCTTGTCGCGGTGGCTCTCTCTCCGGGCACGATATGGACGGACGATTCCCATTTCTCACTGTAGAGCGCCCCTCTCTCCACGCTCCACACTATCCGGTCTCGCGGCGAATGCCGGCATCAGCAGCACTCCAAGCGCCAGTTCGCCGCTTCAACTCGACGCCGAGAGACGTGTTCGTGCCCCCAGCGTTCGTGACTAACCTACACGTCGAATCGTAAACAAAATCGTTAGTTATCGTGACCGTTTTTACTGGTTTCCTTTTACGACTTCGAAATTTCGAGTAATCTCATATTTTGTGCTACTGGGTAGTTTACTCCGGATCCAGTTCGTTTCTCGCGTGTTTGCTGGTTGCTTAGCGACGCGTTGTTTACCTGTTTGTGACGATGGATTTCGTGGAGAATGCGAAGGATTTAGTGGTTCCCTGCGAAGGATAACTTTGGAGTGATCATGTGCGAACTGTCCTGAAGGACAGCGATTTTCTGTGTCAGTGAATCTTGCAATCTGCTGGGAGTTAGAAAAAATAAACCGTGACAATGTGGGTGAAAAGTGTTCTGTCTGTGCTTTCCCTGGTGCTCACTGCTGAAGCAGGTCGGATTGTTTTTCAGAACGGAGCTTACAATGGTTTAGTCTTCAAAATCGAGGAGTATGTGCCTTCTTCGTCGTGTAAGGATATCATTCGAAATTTAGAGGTAAGAGTTCGTTCGCCATTTTATCAAATCACCAAATCCGCCTAAAATACCAAAGGTAGTTGGTTGCAATGCCAAAAAATGTCTGGAGCAATGACATAGAACGTAAATAATTTTTTGAACTGTGTTATTTCTAATTAATTTTGCTTCACAATTTTAGTCGAAATTCTGCGATGGTGACACGAATTTTTAAAAATTAATTGTAAATATCTGGAAGTTAATACCTACAAACTAATGGATGTCATTCTTAGAGTGAACATGAAGTAAACAAAAATAAGTATCTTCTCTTTTCTTCATTTATAGGGCAAATTATTTCTCATCAGAAAAGTTTCTCAACTCCCCTCATGTAAATGATGGCTAGGTATTTCGTAGCAATTTTTGACGGCCCAATCTGTCGGCGCAGAAATTGCATCAGTAAGCTGATCGCCATAAAATCAGTGAGAAAAAATAATCTTTAAAAATCTGACATATCACAGGAATTAAAAATTTTAATAGCATGTTCCGCATTCTCTTCGACAAGGTATTTTCACTTCTTCAAAATTCTTTATTATTAAATATCAATGATATTGGTTGCCTGCATGTTAAGTGTGGCTCTGTGAAGAAAAAGCAATCAGAATTCTAGATTCGGGAATTTCAGTTCGGAATACCTAATGTGCAACAGAGAGAAGAGTCTTATTGCCTTTGCCCTCTCTCTGCAACGCCAAATAGCCAGACTATTGAACTTTCTTGAGAGAAATTAATTCGACTATTAATTTAGGGACTAATTTAGCAAGTAACTAAAACATTATTTTACACTGTTGCTTCTTTCTGTGCCTAGGTAATTCTATCAAATTATGTACAAAGACAGAGACCTGTCATTAATCTTACGCGGGACATCAGTTGGATTTGATACAGCTTAATGTTTTTACCTAGAGGTTTAAATAATTTACTTATCAGACTAACTTATCGGTAAATTATTAATTTCCAACGTGAAAGTATTATTTCTGCTGCACTGTACTTACATACAAATTTTCTCGGCAAAAATGTTGCTTGATCATTGGTTACAAAAAAAAACTCAAGGGAGAAAAACATGTTCACCTCTCCAAAGAGATTGAAAAGAGGAAGTTGCATTCTCATCCTCAATCAGAGACGCAATTCCTTCTTGAAAGTTCCAAGACTTGCATAGTGAAAAATATTTGAACTATGGCATAGTGAAGAATATTTGAACTCTGATAGAATTTTAAACCTAGTATTACCAAGTCGCCCGACTAGTCTCTCGTCAAACTAAATTCCAAGAAAAACACCAAAAATAATGCCTTTCGCTTTCCCTGAATAGTAGAAGGGATTTTTAAATTTTCCCTGAATAATACATGAGTTGTCGAACGTCAAAGTGTGTCACTATCAGGTGTGCAACGCGTTTTGCAACCCTAAAATATCAGGCGCGCCTCGAATCCTGGCGCCAGCACCCCCCGTTTGAATCTCATCAGAACCAGTAGCGATAACTGGAAGGGATCTATTCAATAGGGCCCTTTTTCTGCGCAACGTTGCTTCGACTGAGTTACATTTTATCAAATTTTGAGAGATCAAGTGACCGCCCAAAAATTAATTTCTCCCCCTTCATATTCTCGGAATTTTATTTCCTAGTCATTCGACAAAAATTTTCATAGGTAGGTAAATTGATATTCTGAGAGAGAGAAAAAAAAAATTTTTTTTGGTCCTACGAAATGAAATTCTGTGTTCCTCAGCGATGGAACTTTTCAGTCTCTGCAACCAGAACTCCCTTTCTCAGTTGGGTTGGATCTAAGAGTTCTATCACCGAAACCGAACATTCAGTCTGACAAATCGAGAAGTCTGTACTTAATAAAAACCGAATAGTTTTAGCTATATGTAAGTACCTACCATGAAGCTTAGGTTCATACATATTGTAATCGAAAGTTCTCAGGGCGGATCGAAATAAACGCGTACCAAGGTGCGCAGTCATAGCAGCGTTGCACAAGGAAGATCCCCTGACTGAATAAAATTGACGGGAGGAATTTAATATCGTCCGCGTGGAGGGTCGGAAAAGTCCCGAAACCGGGGGACATTATTTCAATTGCGTTTTTCCGCCCTTTTTTCGAATAATTCACTTTTCCGGTCGGGGGCGGCGGCGACATAAGCCTCTTCACACTTCGCAACTGTATTGTGTTAAAGAGCCCCATCCGAGGGGAGATTAAATTAGCTTAGATTCGCAGGAGTGGAGTGGAGTGGAGAAGTCACAGATAATTCAGATTTGAGGGCCGTGGAGGGATACGCGGCATTGAACAGCGAGCGGATCGCTTTATTAGATCAGTAGCTCTAAGCTTGCATTTGACAGGGAATTTAATCAGATGGAGCTTTTCAGCTACGCGTTCTACGCTCCCGAGCTGTAATCCCGTGCAAAGGGGAGGCTCAGAGCCGCGTGCCGCCTACGCAACCCTGCTCCCTGCCTAGATTTGTAAATGTCCTTCGCACTTCTCGCAGGAAAAAGTAGCTTTTTAGGCATAGGGTGTTTCGGAAATTCAAATTCTACACCGATTGTTCCATCCTCTCTCCTTCACCTCCCTCTTTCCGGTAGGGAGCTGTGAAAGATAATTATTTCTTTATTTGATACTTTAGTTAGTGAATTGTTTACTTTTATTTTATTTTTTTGTAAAAGAAATAAGTATTTTTTATTATTTTTTTCCCCCTACAGTAATTAATTTTTTGATTTTGAGAAACATGTGTTAAAAACGAATTGAAATGAGGCTCTGAGAAAAAATAGTGGTTTAAAAACTTGGATTACGTATTGTCGCTGAAAATTATCTTTCGTGTTTTTTTTATCGTTTTCATAAAGCATTCTTCGGGATTACTTCTAATCGAAATGACTCATTATTATTTTGCACACTTTTTCCTACTTTTCATCATGTCCATCAGCATTTTTTTTTGTAAACGTAATTTAGTATCAGCCAACTATTTTGTAGTGAAACATGTTTTTCTTCCTTCCTCTTTTTTGTAAATTTTTCTTTAGTCATGTCAAAATTAAAACGAAAATTGTTCGTCTCATGTTCTCAAAAATGCAGAACATAAACATCCCCCTTCGAGTTATTCAATCAAGTGGAGGAATAAATTTTTCTTTCGTTCTCTTCGCCAAAATTACCAACCGGGATCCTAGGTATATTAAAGGACAGAGGTACTTTCACTGACCGGCTAAGTTATAAAATCACCCCTTCGAATTTTAAGAACACCCTATACCTACTTACCAGGCAAGCGCGAGCTTTCAGTTCAGTCAGTCGATACGAAATCGGTAAGAAGTGTTATAACTTTCAATAAAATGCTTTTAGGCCCTAATTTCACACCCCCGTAGGCCCGGTCCCGCCAGGATCCGCATTTCGGCAACGGTAATTGGACCGCGTTAAACAGAAAGGAACCAAGCCACATCAGCTATTGCCAAATTTAATCGGGCACTTTAATTTTTTACATGAAATCGGTTGTGCAGATTTTTGTGCAAATTTCTATGAATTTTCTCCATAATACGAAGGAAATTCCTCAACATTTTCAAAGGAATCCGCACATACGCTCTCTCGTAAATAATCAAATTCCCCTGTTAAATTTGGCAACAGCTGATGTGGCTTGGTTCCTTTCTGTTTAACGCGGTCCAATTGTAATCTGTCTTCTTAATGCTTCGTTTAGCTCCGCGCAAACAAATATTTACTCTCCCTTGTTTCGAGCTGATTCGATTTAGGCCCGCGATATTATGCTGCCACCGTCGAGACGTTATCATTCCGTCTGCGAGGGTGAGGGTGGAAAACTTGTTAATTCTGATGGAAAATTGGGATTTGAATCCGTAAACATCTTGTAATTAACTTTGCGACGCGGACTCGGGAAGATTTATTCGGGGGATGATAAATGAGCGACGAGGACGATTCGACCGTAAAAGGGAATCAAGGTTGTCTGGGGTTGACTTTCGTTTTAAGCTCGGGTGTTAAGTTTTAATTTCTTTAAAAGTTGGCGCACCCTCTATTGCTTTTCTTTCTTTTTTTTTCATTTTCTGTTACTTTTTAAATTGCTCAGTTGAGCTCCCATTAAATCGTCGAAGAATGGGTGAATTTGATTTAAGCAACACTTCTTTCCACTCTTTCCTGTGCTTGTAGATTTAGTCATTTCCACTACCTACGAAGTAGCAAACTTTGATTAATATTGGAAGTGTCCGGAGAGAATTTATGTCGATTAAGTAAAGGCATGCGAAAAAAACAAGTGATAGGGTAGTTAAGTTCTTATACTTTATTGGCCTCCAGGTTTCAAAGTTAAGTACACGGAAAAAACGGTTTTAGGATCGGGTACTGCGGCGCAGGGCCCGGCCCCAAACCCGGGTAGGTGAAATTGCTTCACCTAAACCTCGGAGGGTCGGGCCCAAGCTGAAGGTAGGGTCCAGCCCTACCTGCATATCGACGCCAAGCGTAAAAAATCCGTGCCCTCGCATGGATTCGAACTCGCATCGCAGAGATAGTAGACCAGCGCGGTACCACCAGGCTACGAGGCCTCGATGAATGAGGCAGCGAATTTACGCCTCTTGAGTGCAATTCCCCCTCTCGGCATATCAATGACACCTGATCATACGGGCATCAGTCCTCAACTGGCGTTCAGCGAGAAATGACGGTATTCGCTACTCCTGCGCATGCGCGCGCATGCGCAGTAACTAAAACCTCAAAACCCAGTCGGTGGCAGCGTTCGCAACTAGCTCATGGAGGCATCGTGCCTATAATCTGTAGGGACGTGAGCTACCTCTCACTGCCCTACCTCTAGTTAGGGCCCCATCCTAAACTCGTTTTTTCCGTGTAGGTAATATTAAGCTAATATCTAAAAGTAGTGAATTTAATTGTTAATAGACCATCGTAAATTTCCAGGAAATCAAGCTACTTAGCAATTACGTTGAAAGATTACACCTACACTAACAAAGTTGAAATTTTAGCTTCATAGTTTCATTTTGAAGGCAGGCTACATGTCCTGGACTTATAACTGACGAGATT